TGATTGTGAGGGTTGGAAATGTAAAGGTGGACATTTTATAGCAAGGAGGGGAGGGCCCTGGGACCATCAAGGGAGAAGAGTGGAGAGTGGGTCCCTACCCAGAGAAACAGTGATGCCTGATCTGGAGGCAGAGATGATGAGAGGGAGAGGTGCTATGTGCTGACAACCGGGGCGGGAAGCGGTGGGCAGGCGTGCAGGATATACTCTTTGGACAGGATTGTAACTATGGCAATGAAACGATGTATGATAGAATGAATGTAAAAGTAATGTTCTCCCACTTACACTATCACATAATTCACAATAAAACAAAACAAAACAGAGGGTGAAGAAGCCCCCAGGTGGTACAAGTGGTTATTGATGTCTGAGGAGTTGAAGGTTTGAATTCACCCAAAGGTTCTTCAGAAAAAAGGCCTGGCATTCTACTTCTGGAAAAGTGGAGAACCTCACAGAGTCCAGTTCTCTCTGAAGCACACGGATTACCAGGGGTTAGAGTTGGCTGAAATGACAACTCACGTTTAGGGGTTGAGAAGTTAAGATGGGGTATCTGACTTACCTCCACAGGTGGGCAGGCTGCAGATCTGGACAGTGTCCGGCTTGTCCCCCTCACACTGACCTAGACTGTTGGTGTTGGTGCGGCACACCACCTGCCGCTGCTGGATGCCCTCTCCGCAAGTGGCAGAGCACTGTCCTCAGGAGGACCAGGGCCATGGCGCAGGGTAGGGGAGGCAGAAACCGAGAGGGTGGGGAGTGAGCTCCAAAGTCCAGACAATGTCCAGGCACAGAAAGGTCAGGCCAAGCCCCCAAAGCATTTGTCAAATATTCTTGTACCAACAGGTAAACAACCATAAGCCCCAAGCTTAGATCCCCATGGACTTTTCCATGATTAAAAGATCAAGGTCTCCTGGCACCAGAAGGGTCCTCTGGGTCACCACCACTGCCTGCGTTTGCTGCATCTAGTCTTTCAAGTGAGTATCACTCTGGCAAGCTCTCCTGTGACCACTCACCACGCCTAGTAGGTCCACCTCTGTGGTGATACCTTGTGAATGGCATGTAGAGCCCAGACTCTAGTGCCCACTGCCTCTCTGGCTCAGTTTCCAGCTCTATAGGCCAAGAGAGTTGGGTCACAAGGTCTCCAACAGCCCAGCCCTAGCTCTGACAGTCAATGATTCTGTGACTTGAAGAGTCTCTTTGCTGAGCTGGAAAAGAGGATGCAAAGGCTACCAATCCCCCAACACTGTGCCCTGGACCTGGCTTACTTTTTACTCCAATAAATAGCAATGGTAGGAGTGGTACCCTGACTCTATGACTCTACAGGAAGAAGTAAAGATGGAGACAGAGCCTGGAGAGATGCATCTATGAGGTAAATAACACCAAAGATGGCCAGGAACCATGGGAACTACACCTGACCAGGAGTCAGAAAAAGGCAAAGAAGGATCTTCCCCTAGGTCTTCAGGGGGAGCACTACCTGGCCCTGAGGACACCTTGATTTTGTACTTCTAGCCTTCAGAACTGTAGGACAATAAATTCCTGCTGTTTGAAGTCCTCTGGAGTGGTACCTTTGTTCTGGGAGCCCTTAGGAAACAGATGCAAATGAGTTCTCCTTGTTCTTAGAGTAAATTCAGACTCCTTACAGTCTCTGCACCATTCTGACCATTCTAAGCAATGGACTGGGGAACCACAAGGTCTGTAGTTTGAGCCCACCAGCCTCTCAGTGGGAAAACAATTAAGGTCTCTGCCCACGAACATTTAAAAGCCTGAGAAAACCCTATACAGGGTCTCTCTGAGTTAGAACCTACGGGCTGGCTGGCACTTAACTATAACTTTTACCTGACCCTCTCACTCAGCTCTACTTCTACTGTCCTTTTTTGTGGAACATGGCAGGTGGCCCCTTCCTCAGGGTCTTTGCCCATTGCTCCCTCTTCTCGCAGTGCATACCTCCAACTCTGGGTCTCACTACCCTTGCCTTCTGCTGCTCTCTGAAAGTACTCATGTGATTGGTTCACTTGTCTAGTATGCACCCCAGCTGGACTGAAAACTCCATGAGGACAAGAGCTGGCCTGGCTGGTTGATGCAGGATTCTAGTGCAATGCCTGGCATGTAACTGGAACTCATCTGTAACGTGTTATTTAGTCATGCCTTGTCGCTCGGTGTGAGCTCAAAGGAGGCTGTAAATGAATGCAGGAAGCACCAGCTCTCTCAGAAGTCCTCCTCCCCCTACTCAAACCAGCTGCTCCCCCAACCTCCTAGAAGGTACGCTCCTGGAGCAGCCTCTCCCACCCGCTAGAAGGTAACTCACCTGGGACCAGGCTCCGGTGCGCCACTGGGCTGGACAGGGCATGCGAAGGCAGGGCCGCCGACCCTCGGGCCGGTCCCCAGGACAGGCCTTGATAGGCATGGCCTTGTGGGTGCCGTTGGACAAGGGCAGCAGGCACTGCACACTCCGAGTCTGTACCCCCAGCTTCCCGCAACTCCTGCTGCAAGTGCCCCACTCTTCTGTCACCCACCTGGGGACAGGACAGGACAAGGTGGAAGGAAGATGAGACCATGAGGTACTTCCTCCCAGGGAGTGACCTCACAACCCCCAAAACAGCTATCAACAGGAACCAGAGTGTGGGTTTGGGCTTCAGGATGTTTAGTGGCCAAGACAACTGATACTATTCCCTCCTGTCCTCAGTTTCCTCATCTGAAAAAATGGGCATAATACAGAGTTAAATCCTATGAAGGAGCGATACTGCGAATCACAAGGTGGTCAGTTCAAACCCACCAGCTGCTCCTCGGAAACCCTATACAAGGTCATTATGAGTCGGAACCAACTCAATGGCACTTAACAACAAAAGGTGCTATAGGGAAGCACTAGACTAAATCACATGTTTGGCAGTTCAAAGCCACCAGTCACTTCTTGGAAATGCTATACAGGGTCCCTATGAGTTGGAACTGACTCAACAGCACTTTAAAAACAAGCTATTAATGAAGTTCTGGTGTGGGACTGTAGGATAAGCATTGTACTTGCAAGGTTGGTTTAAACCACAAGATTGGCAGTTCAAATTCACCAGCCACTCCTTAAAACCCTATATAGAGTCACTGAGTTGGAAGTGACTTGATGGCACTTATACTATTAATGCCTCTAAACCTCAATGAAAACAAACCAAAAAACCCTCAAATCCTCTGCTTTTAAGTTGATTCCAACCCATGGCAACCCCACATGTTACAGAGTAGAGCTGGGTTCTATACAGTTTTCTTTACAAGAAGGAGCCCTGGTGATGCAGTGGGTTAAGAGCTGCTGACTGAAAGGTCAGCAATTCAAACCCACCAGCCTCTTCGAGGGAGAAAGATGCAGCAGTCCGTTTCCATAAAGATTACAGCTCTAAGGAGCAGTCCTATTCTGTGTTATAGGCTTACTATGAGTCAGAATTGACTCGATGGCGGCAGGTAGTTTGGTGTTTTGGTTTAATCTTGAAAGAAGCAGATCACCAGGACTTTTTTCCATAGTGCCACTAGTGGTGGTGGTGTGCCATGGAATCTGTTCCGACTCATAGCGACCCTGTACAGGGTTTCCGAGACTGTAAATATTCACAGGAGCAGAAAGCCTCATCTTTCTCTTGCAGAACGGCTGGTAGTTTCAAACTGCTACCCTTGAGGTTAGCAGCCCAACTCGTAACCACTATGCTCCCAGAGCTCCTTACAATTCTCTTAGGTGGGCCCAAACCACCAGTCTTTAGGGTAACAGTTGAGTGCAAATCATGTGTGCTACTTTGGGACAATCCTCCATCTTTCAATCAATTCTTTCAGCACTCCACAAATGGGTATTAGATGTCTTCCATGTGAGGCACCTTCCTAGGTGCTGAGAGAGATAAGAACCACTGTCCCCAATGGAGACCTCGGGACAAAGAAAGAACTTCTTCCTATTTATAAAGAACTTGGCAGCATGCCTGGCATGCAATGCCGTTGTTATTAGGTGCCACTGAATTGACTTCGACTTTTACTGATCCCACATGACAGAGAAGTGCCCCATAGGCACTTCTTCACAGAGCAGATTGTTGTTAAGTACCGTGGAGTCGGTTCCGACTCACAGTGACCCTGCACAGGGTTTCCAAGGTTGTAAATCTTTACGAGAGCAGAAAGCCTCCTCTTTCTCCTGGGGAACCGCTGGTAGTTTCGAACTGCTGACCTTGAGGTTGGCAGCCCAATTAGTAACCACTACGCTACCAGAGCTCCTCATAGAAGCAGACAGCCAGGTCTTTTTCCTGTGGAGGTACTGGGTGGGTTTGAACTACCAACCTTATGGTTGGCATCCTAGCAATTAACTGTTTGTGCCACCAGTGTTCTTGGCAGCATGCTGCTGCATACCATGAAGTTGGTTCCAACTCATAGCAACGCTGTATGGGGTTTCCGAAGCTGTAAATATTTACAGGAGCAGAAAGCCTCATCTTTCTCCTATAGAACGCTTGGTAGGTTTGAACTGCTAGCCTTGTGGTTAGCAGCCCAACATATAACCCTTTGTGGTATGCAATTGTTGTTACGTTCACCGAGCTGGTTTGACTTATAGTGACCCTCTAAGGGTTTCCAAGGAATGGCTGGTGGGTTTGAACTGCTGACCTTGTTAGCAGTCCAGTGCTTATCCTATAGAATCACACCAGGTGCTGCTGCTAAAAGTGCTGTTGAGTCAACTCCAACTCACAGCGATCCTGTATAAGGTTTCCAAGAAGCAGCTGGTGAGTTTGAACTGCCAACCTTTCATGTGAAACAGACCTTGCGGTCCAGTGCTCCTACAGCGCCCCACCAGGACGCCACAGCAAGTGCAGTGGGCACTTAATAATGGCAGGCACGAGCACTACCACCGAGAATCCTGGTGTGGCGTTGTAGGACAAACTGGACTCTAACAGTAAGGCCGGCAGTTCAGCCTCACCAGCTGCTCCTTGGAAGCCCTCTACAATAGGGTTGCTGTGAGTTGGAAATGACTTGACGACACGTCACAACAACCATCAATGACATCAGCATTACCCATAGGGCTTCAGGTTTCATCTAAGCTCTAACCTCTTGTTTTCCAGATGTCTTAAGCCACAGCCTCTTATCAAACATCCTCAAAAACTTCCTCAGAGAGTCTGACAAAAGCATAGCTGCCCCTATAGGGAATGATGGGGAAGGGCAACTTCTACCCAGTTTCCCAAGGCATCGCTGAGTAATGAACCCTAGCTCTTTCAGGTACATTTTCAAAGCCAACCCTTTCCCTTTAAAAAAACTTCTCCAAACATCACTGGGTAACTTTACAGATGGGTGGGTGGATGGGTGGGAGAGTGACCATATCACTAGCCCAGTGCTGCACACTCTGGGGTCACAGACATTTGTGGACCAGGAGCCTTAGTGCTTGTGTGAAGTACTGAGTCTCCGGGAAGCCTGAGGGGCCGGTTCTAAAGACTGACATGAGCATATGAGCCCTAATCCTGGGAACAGGGGGTCAGGGTCCTCAGCTCACACCCGGACCCCGAACCCCACATCCCCCAGCTGAGGGAGCAGGAGTGCTGTCTTATCAATTCTGAGCTGACACCCTGCCCAACCCAGCGAGGACAGAGGACACAGCCTGCTGCAGTTCCTTCCTGGCTAGTATCCTCAGCTCTGCCTCTGGGACACAATGGTCACAGGTGGGCCAGTTCAGCAATAGGCTGAGAGGCCTGACCTGGATTTCCTCTCCCAGAATAATGGCGAGGACATGGTTTTATGCTCAAAAGAGCTCGTCTCCACAGGAGGAATCCCCATCAGGGGCTCAAACGCTGGCAGGCAGCTCTGACCGTGGAGGTCTCCGTCTCCATCCCTTCGTCCTCTCCTCCAGGGGCCGGGACAGGGTGCACTCACTCGGGCTGGGCACACGGGTGCTGGTTACAGCGGCGCCGGATGGGCTTGGGCCTCTTCCTGTGGTCACACAGGTGCCGCTGTACCATGTGGTGGTCCCGTCGACGCCGGCAGCCATATTTGGTGAACTGGATCCCTGAGGGAGGGGAGAGGGGTTGAGCAGGCTGCCATGGGCTTGGTTCACCGGTACCACGCTATCCTCCTGGAGCCCCAGGGTCAGGAATCTAGGGAGTCTGAGGGCCAATCCCACCTCTCTGGGTGCCTTTGCACCCCCTTCCTGCCCAGGTCACTTTGTGAAGGAGGCCTTCCTCATCCTTATCTGTGCTCCAGGACAGCTGCCTCCCTGGCACAGCCCATGAGCTCTCATAGCTACCTGGTAGCTGGTGTGTGCCATCAGGTTGGTCCTGACTCACAGTGACCCTATATGGGATTTCTGAGAGCAGCTGGCAGGTTTGAACCATCGTCCTTGCAGTTAGCAGTCCAGTGCTTTTCCTATAGAACCTCACCAGTACTGGATAGCTGCCCTAAGACCTTCCTAACCCTATTCCAGAGACTCTGCCCAGAATGGGCTTTCAAGGAGAAACTGAGGCAAGCACTGCACACTCCAGAAGAGATAGTGAACAAGAGAGAACCTGGTGGGGCAGTACCAGGGACTGTAAGGTGCAGCCAATGTCACCCTGGCCCCCTTGGGTCCTCCTGGATCCCTCCTCCTCTGAGAGGCCCTGAGGCTCCCCCTACCCCCTCCAGGATATACCTCCTCCGCAGGTCTTGGTGCACAGAGCCCAGCTCTTGAGCGCCCACTCGTAGGTGTCTGTCTCTTCCAAGAGCACATTGTTGCTCCCAATGAGGGGCAGTAGGTCCTCATGGATGACATACTTGTAGGCCAGGCTACTCTGGGGACCACTCTCCCCCGGGGGAAGCACCTGAGGAGAGTCAGGGAGGTAGAACCAGAACTGGAGAGCAGAGAAGTGAGCCCAGTGGACTAGGCAGTCCAAGAGAAGGATGCGGGTCAGAGCAGCATGAAAGGAAGCTGGGAAGACGAGGCAAGCAGAGGCTGCTGGTGAGGGCATCCTAGTCAATGGCCATGCAGCACAGTCAGGCTGACGACCTGTGTGGCCAGGGATTAATGCTTCCCCTTCGTCAGACATGCATCCACACTGCCGGACAACTACTGAATGGCTACCAGGTACAGAGAGAATGGGAGTGTGTGGGGGCCAAATTCATATGCCTGCCCTCTAGGACCTGACCCTACTTGGGAGGTGGCATTGGAGCTGAGTCAGAGCTGAGGACACTAAACAGAGCTGCCCTGCTTTCTTCAGCTGGAAAACTTCTCTGCTCCACAAGTTCTGCCCATGGTGTGGAGGTGGGGAGCAGGCCGAGGTGGCTTAGGCAGGTCAGTGGCTCGTCTCCCGCTCAGGAGGTGGGCAGTATCAGCCAGCACCCCTGCTTAGCTGTCCTACTAGCCCAAAGGAGCCCCTCCTGAGCTCATTCACTGATAATGCCATCATGCAGGCGAGCCACCTGTGTCCCCCTGCCCCCATATGCTCCCTCCAGGCCTCACACCTGTGACTCCCTGGGTGTGGCATTTTCTGGTCTGACAGTGAGACAATAGTTTCTGTTTCCCACCTCACTTGCCATTAGTCACTGGGTACAAATGAGGTCCAGCACCAGCCATCCTGCCCTGGCTGCACTTATGACCCAGGATGGACTCACCAGGACAGCGATGGCTTCAGGCAGGGGCCCACTGGTCTTGAGGCTTTCCTTGGAGTCCTCCACCACATACTCCCACTCCAGTCCCAAGGCCATGAAGGTCCGGTGCGTGGCGTCCTTGCCCTTGGGGTTGAGGATGAAGCTGCCTGTGACCTGGTTCTTCACCGCTGGACAGGGGGAGAGGGTCACACAGATTTCTATTCCCTTCAAGGGGCGCATGAGCCAGTCTCTCCTCAGGGAACCGAGAATGTGCCATTCCGGTCATCCCTGCCTACCTGCCACTTCTCCCACTTGAACCCTCAGGTCACACTGTCCCCAAACCCACCATCCCTGCCTCTGGATCCAGGGGTATGTCATCTCTCATATTACATTAATACTCCTCATTTGAACTTTATTGCTTCATTTTGGGGCTCTAATTTTTCATCCATCTTGGTTGTATTGTTATATAGCATTTATAAACATAATGACTTTAACTTAAATCCCTCCCAGTCCTGTATACATGCCCCTTAAACCTTTGACTTTACTGTTTTGCTGCCCCTAAAATCTGGGCTTGGCCATGTGATTTGCTTCAGCTAATGAGACATTAGAAAACATAATATAAACAAAGACTTGAAAAGTGTTTGTACACTGGGTTTGCTAAACACTGTGTAAGTAATCCCAGGCTGACCTGCTGGAGACAAGGTCCTGTCCCCCCAGCTGACAGCCAGTACCATCAGACCTTCAGGGAGCTGGTGAGACCATCCCAGGACAATTTACGAAACAGAACCACCAGCTAGCTGCCTGCATTCTCGTTAAGTCCAGGTGAGACTAGAAGAATCACCGAGCTTAGCTCAGTCCAAACTGCTGACTCACAGAATCATAGCCATAAACAATTATTATATGACATTTTGGAGTGGTGTGATACACAGTTCACTTTAAAATGGTTAATATTATGTGAATTCACCTCAAATAATAAAAAAGTTACCTGATAATAGTCTGTGAAAATGGCTTTCTTTTTAAAAGTACCCACAAGTGCCCCTAGGAAGGACATCGGGGACAGGGTCCAGTGGATTCTTCACTAGATCCCCTCTTGTATCTTTCAAATGTGAACCGTGGCATGGCTGCCTACTCAGCATCAATTTAAAAACAAATTTCAGAAGAGTCTTTGTTCATTATTCAAGTGGGCACCTGAGCCTGTTCTGAGCAATGGCCCTGACCCTCCTTGGACGTCAGTACTCACCAATGTGGTGCGGGACCTTCTCCAACTCCTCTATTTGAATGTGCCTGGCACCCGCTGGGATCTGCACCAGCTTGAGAGCTCCTGCCCGAGGGAAGGATCCAGAAAAGACGAGAGTACCCAGAGCTAGGAGACCCAGTCCCCAGGAACCCAGAGGTTTCAGGGTCATCTCCTGTGACCACCAAACCTCTCTGAACTGCACGGTTTTTAATAAGGTTGGGGCCTTTTCCACAAGGTTACTGTGAGGACCCAATGAGATGTTGTAGTTTAAAGCGCCCTAAAAACTCTAGAGGGCTGTGTGTGAGACTGTTCTGTCGATATTCTTCTATCACTTCCCTTTTTTTCTCTAACTTCTGGTCTTCTATTTCTTCTCACACGTTAAGCCCCCCACGGTAGGACTTGGAGGAAATAAGCCATGGAGCCCCAGCAGCACTGCCCTGGCCCCCACGGCCCTCTCTCTGAAAGGCCTACAGATGAGCTATTCTCACAGTCATCAACCTTGTCTCCCACAAGCAAAGGCAAGGCAAGGCAAGGCGTATTAAAGCGTAAAAGACTCACACCTGCCCCTTTTCCAGATCAAATTTGGCTTGATTGGAGTTGAGAAGGGAATTGAGAGGTACCAGGTATTCAAAGCACGGGTTTTTAAATTTAGTTTAGTTGTGTTGTTGTTGTTTTTTAAGTGAGAAGAAAATAAAATTACCAGCCCAACCTGGCCACAGCTTCAGACTATGACACTTCACACCCACCAATGGCCTCAGGAAGGAAGAGATAGTTGAGCTCCGAGCACAACACATCACTTTAAAAAAACGCTTCTTTGACCTACTGAGTCCCAATTGTGGGTAGCAGCACATTCAGAAGACGAGGTCACTGGCTGCAACTTCTGCTTACTGGGCTCCAGGGCCCCTTCTCTCACCCTGCACCAAGGCCCCGTTCAAAGTGGAGGGTCCTGGCTGGATCAGAGCTGCAGTCCCTCTTCGGGTCATCCCCCAGCTCATGCCTGCAGCCCACTCACCTGCCTGCTTGGAGGCCTTGCCCAGCGTTCCCTTCACAGTCCTGCAGTGGGAGTTGTCACCGCCACACACACCACACTTGTCATCTGCTTTCATGGACCCGACCTCCTTGTCACAGCCGACGGGCTGAGGTCAGAAGTGGTCAGTGGGAAGAGGTTCGCTGCCTACCTTGGCCCTACCTCATGGTCTCCAAGCCCCAGCAACAGAGAAGTCCGGGCACAAGAGGCATTGTGAACAGAGCTCTCTGCTGACTCGCCACAGGACAAGAGGAAGATCTTAAGCCTGATGTGGCAATAGTTCTTACTGTCTCTTTCTCTTCCCAAGAATACGGCCCAAGCAGTAACCCCTTTCCAGCATGCTAGGGTTTTCAGGTTCTGTTGTTGTTGTTGTTGTTAAGTGCCATCGAGTCGGTTCCGACCCATAGCGACCCTGTACAGGGTTTCCGAGGGTGTAAATCTTTACGGGAGTAGAAAGCCTCATCTTTCTCCCGCGGAGCGGCTGGTAGTTTCGAACTGCTGACCTTAAGGTTCGCAGCCCGATTCGTAACCACTACGCTACCAGAGCTCCTTCTAAGGGGTGTCAAATCTTTACGGGAGTAGAAAGCCTCATCTTTCTCCCGCGGAGCGGCTGGTAGTTTCGAACTGCTGACCTTAAGGTTCGCAGCCCGATTCGTAACCACTACGCTACCAGAGCTCCTTCTAAGGGGTGTCATTATGGGGAAGGTGAGATGATGTTTACCTAGCTCAGGAGCAGAGGATGGGTCCCGGGAGTGGGCACCTACCACACACTCGCCACGGGCACAGAGGCTGTAGGGGTCACGGTAGCTGCAGCGTGTCCCATCATGGACTACCTGGTTCATGAACACCACGTCGCCCGTCTCTGCTGATCGGCAGATCAGCTCACACTTCTGGGCATCTGTGGGGAGAGGAGCCACTCTGAGTCACCAACTAGGCACTGAAGTTGCGGGTGGTGCAATGAACACTTGGTCCACACGAGAAGCCCAGGGTCAGCTCTGGGCAGGGAGAGGAGCACAGGTTGTATAGCTGGAAGCTAAAACCCTTGCTTTATAGCATAGTCCAACAAAGACAATATTCCACATTCTACTGTGGTGAGTAGTGACGGAGATCTTAAAAGTTCATGAGAAAACCATTTAAGGTGTGACTATTGGTCTCTCCCAGTGCGGAGGAAAACAGTGATGAAAAGTGAAGATGTTTGGGATGATCCAGTCCACTGTACTAAGGGAACACGTAAACCTCAGGACCCTGAGACCAGAACTCGATGGTGCCCGGCTACCGCCACTCACTGTTCTCAAAGGTCCTGGACAGAGTGGGAGAAAACATGGGACAAACCTCAAAATTATTTAAAAAATTTTAAAAAGACCAGGCTTAATAGTCACAAAATAACCTGGAGGAGCCCGAGACTGTGGCCTTCGGCTACCTTTCAGGTCATGGACCAATTTTCAGGCAAGTGGTAGACAGGTGTACAGACGGACAATACTAGTAAGGTCTGCTCACCATGGAATGGTCAACCAGTCACGATCAGAAAGACAGTTTTACCTAAGGACAAAGTCCAGAAGGGCTGGGAAAGAGAGTGGAATGGAAACACGAATCACAGGGAGGAGGTGGGCTAACGGATATTACATGGAAGGGAATGCAGTCATTGAGATGAAATGAAGTGTATGATTTGCCGATTGTAAAACACAATTCGTAACACTGTTGTTCAGTGCTGTTGAGTTGATTCCAGCAAAGGGTTTCTGAGGAGCTGCCGGTGGGTTTGAACTTCCGAGGTTGCAGTTAGCAGTCCTATAACACCACACCAGGATTCCAAAATAAAAAGCTAAATATATATCCCTGCTAGGCCACTTATTTATTAGTCTAGTGACCCTCAGTAAATTATCTGTCCTCTCTGAGCTTCAGATCTCTGTTTTTAGGATCTTTGATCCACAAAATGTCATAAAAGGTTTTTGAGAAAAATCAAGTCATACAATTACAATAATAATAATTAGCCAGCACTTGGAAACCCTGTACAGGGTCGCTATGGGTCGGAACCGACTCGACGGCACTTAACAACAACAACAGTGATTACTTACAGTGTACAAGATACTTCCAAAACTTCATATTCCCTTGACATTCGAGTTTGAATGCTTTTCCTGAATTAACTCACTTAAACCTCTCAATGCCCTACGAAGTTGGTTCCAGCGTTGTTGTTAAGTGCCATTGAGTCGGATCAGACTCAGAGTGACCCTGTTAAGGGTTTCTGAGGAGCCTTGCAGTTCAAACCAACTATGTGGTCCTATACCTGTCCTACAGTGCTACACCAGCAATCCAGAGGAAGAAAATAAGTCCCAGAGAGGTTAAGGAATTTTTTCAAGGCCACACAGCCACATGGTAAGTGGTGGGGCCAGAATTCTAATCCAGGCAGTTTGCTCTAGTGCTGCTCTGACCCCAGCGTATACGGTGTAGGATGGACAATGTGTCTGAATGTGTCACTAAGCATTAGACAGCCCTAGGAAAGGCGGGGCAGGGGTCTGCATTTGGGTTTGTACAATGGAGCAGCAATGAGGGAGGAAAGAGGGTCATTTTTGGTCTGAACAATGAAATGTTCTTTTCTCTATCTGGAGATTTGATGTCCTAAAAAGGAGATTCCAGAGAATATACAAAATACTTCCTAGAAAACAGGAGGTGGGGACTTAGCTAGCTTCTTCTTGGAATTCGTCTCAAAGTCCTAGGAAAAGTCCAAACAACTGCCCCACTGGCCCCCTAAGCCTTACCATACATACTGGTGCTATGAGTGCTTGTTTGGGTTCTGAATGGGTCGGGAAGGCTTTCAAAGCAAGCCCCTGCCTCAGTGAAATTCCACAGCGGGTCTCAGCTCCTGGTCCCTGAGGCCCTGTGACATAGGGTGACTTCCTGCCTCCAGCAACGCAAAGCCACCTAAACTTCATGCCAGAACTCAGGCCCCTGACCAGTACACCCAGTCTGGCAGCTCTCTGGGTAGCAAAGGAAGCTGTCCAGCGATGGCAAGAAGATGATGAGCTTCCAAGTAGAGGGAAGACGCCTTCTGTCAGGATGCTCCAGAACTTGCGCTCTGGCTAAAATGGACTGGCTTCAGGTCTTTCCATCTTGCAGATTCTGAGATGCTACATGAGAGTGAAGAACTTAGACCCTATGGGTTGATGTTTTGTTGCCAGGGCTCTGCAGAGGCAGGTGGTTCTAACCAGAGCTCTTGGATGTTGAGGACTGCAGGGTAGGTGGGTGAATGCTCATCTGTGAAGGCCTATGAGATACTGGGGCATTGCTCCTCAGGACAGCCTGGCCGTGCAGAACAGAGGTGGGCATTAAAGAGCACTAACACCACTTCCAGTCTGAAGCCCGATGACTCTGTGGACCCCCACACTCCTGCCCTGGCTCATCTCAGCCACTCTGGGAGCCATGTTTGGAGAGGCTTCAAGCCAGGTGGGATGGCAGCAGCATGAACCCAGTGTGAGTCTCAGACCTGTGTCTAGCCCAGGGCAGCCTGCAGGGCTCAGGAGAAGAAATCCTCCAAGCCACCTTTAACAACTCTGCTCCAACTGTAACCCAATGTTACCGGAAGCCATGAAGTCAACCCCGACTCATGAAGACCCCATGTGTCAGAGTACAGCTGTCCTCCATAGGGTTTCAACGGCTGATTTTTTTGGAAGTCAATAACCAGGCCTTTATTCCAAGGCACTTTTGGGAGAACTCAAACCACCAACCTTTTGATTAGCAACTGAATGCATTCATTGTTTGTGCCACCCAGGGAAACCAATTAGTAACACAATTCAATTTGTAATGTCATAGGACAGAATGTTCCATAATGCTAACCAAGTAAAGTGAACCCACACCTGTAGTTACCATGGGCAGGTAAGGACAGAGGTATGAGAGTCACCTAACTCCAACAGCCAGTACTGCTGCCTCCCCTTTCCTCAAGACACCTTACTTGCATCTACTGCCAGGGAAGTGTCATATGAATGACACCAAGGTAAGGATGCCATGGGTGGGGGTGGTGCCCCCAGAGGCAAGCAGTAAACACAAAGGTCCACAGCAACCTACCAACTGCAATGTCCCCTTCATTGTCCCACTGTCCCTTCCCTTATGAGGGAATATATGCTGGTGAGTCCAGGCTGGTGTCCGGCTGTGGTGGGATTCCAGCCTGAGAAGCTGTGGGCTCACTCACCGTCCTCCGGCTCGAAGGGAACCCAGCTATGCTTGGTGTTCTGGTGGGTGTAGTAGGAGTTGCGTTTGGCACACTGCTGGGCTCGGAAGTCCTCAAAGGGTCCTGGGCACTCCTCACTGTTGCAAACCTGGTACTCAAACATGGACCCCGAGCATGGACGACCTCCATAGGCTGGGCTGTGCAGAGAGACCGAGAAAGGGAGATTGAGGTGGGCTGGAAGGCTGGACTTCTTTCTATATGGCCACAGGGAACATTCAGCCCCTTGTTGTTGTTGTTAAGTGCCGTCGAGTCGGAGCCAACCCATAGCGACCCTGTACAGGGTTTCGGAGGGTGTAAATCCTTACGGGAGTAGAAAGCCTCATCTTTCTCCCGCGGAGCGGCTGGTAGTTTCGAACCGCTGACCTTAAGATTCGTAACCACTACGCTACTCAGCCCCTTAGGGTATCCCAAAATAGGGCTTCACTAACTCAAAAGCCAGAGAATGACCCCCAGTGACTACTCCCTGACTCATCTAACCTCCAGGCATTTGTCTCTCTCTCTCTCTCTCTGTGTGTGTGTGCGCGCTCGCGCACGGGAGACAGAGAGAGAGAGGGAGGGAGAGAGAGAGAGAGAGCCAGAGAGAGAGAAGGGAGAGCCAGAGAGAAACAGGAAGATAAACTAATCTCTTCCAACTAGATGAGAATAGAAATTCACCTTTGTGTATTCCTCCAATTAGTTACATAGCACCTCGATAAGCACACAATACCTGACCCAACTACTTCCTCCATTTACTATCTTCGAATACTAAGAAGCAGTCAGAGGAGATTCGGATTTGGAATGAGAAGAGCTGGTGCCAAGTCCTGTTTGGACAAATCACTTAACCTTACTGGGCCTTCCCATCCCCTGTAGAAAAGCGAACACAATACCCTATTTTACCTACTGCCTGGGGTGTCTGTGGAGAATAAAGAAGAGATATTTTAAGGGCATCTTGATTCCCTTCTCCATTAAAGTTTAAAGGACTGGGTATGATTATTTACATATATCCCCAAGTGGCATGAGCTATCAGCTCATAGAGTTGTGAAGAATTATTCAGGCTGCTCCTTGGAAACCCCAGATACAGTCAGCCTGAGTTGGAACTGACTTGACACCACTTAACAACAACAACAACAACAACATACCCCTAAATGACACGGTGGCTAAGCGCTCAGCTGCTAACAGAAAGGGCAGTGGTTAGACTCCACCAGTTACTCTACTGGAAAAAAACATGGCAGCTGCTTCCGTAAAAATTTACAGCTCGGAAGCCCCATGGTCAGTTCGACTCTGCCCTATAGAGTCACTGAGTGCCAGACTGACTTGATGGCAGTGGGACTGATTTGGAGTTTATGCACCTAAGCACTTAGCATCATATCTGGCACCGAGCAAATGCCTGACACATTGTAATCGTAATTATGTACCAGCAGTGGTCACTTTTTAAATACAGCACCTGTGCGGGCATGGTGCTGAGAGTACACGACATTTCCTACTATCAAAGTTACCGCAGACAATGAGTGTAGTAAGCGGTAATTCTGACCAAGAGGACAGCTGTTTGTCCTGGCTGTAAAGACTGGTTTCCTGGAGCAGGCTCTGCTGGGCTCTACTGCATCACTGGCCTTTGTATCCTACACAGCAGCGAGTTAGTCCCCAATTCACTTTGGCTCATATAATGTCTAACGAAGCAACAGCCTAACAGGTGGTGAGCTGCCCACCTCTGCAGGTAAACACGTTGTATAAATGATGGTTCCTGAGGATGCAGGGGAGGGGGAACACTCTATAGCCACTGGGATTCTGTCTGGCAACATTCATCACTCAGCACTGTGAGGGGTTGGGATGGGCAAATCCTGTCTGTGTTGGGGTTCAGAATCCTTCATTTGTGGGGCCTAGGCTAGCCTCCATCACTCTTCTGGTAGTTAGAAGCAGGCTGCTTCTGTTTGGGAGATGGGGCTGAGACGCTCTAAAACATGGAAGGGCTGACAGGAGAGAGTTAAACAGCTCCCTGTAAAGTGGAAATTTGGGAGCGGTGAGACATGGGAGTGGATGTTACAAACAGGCAGGGTAAGAATCATGAAAGAAAGTTTTGCTTCATGGGGTAGAAAACCAATTTGAGGAGTTTATTCTCAAAAGACTTGGCTATTGAGAGTTTGAAAAACAAAACGGCAGCAGCCACAAAGCTTCCTTTGCCACTGAGAGGATTCCGAATTATGGAGAGCCCATGTGTGCAGAGCTGCCTGAAGGGTTTTCCTGACTGTAATTGAGACAGGCGTTTGCCAGGTCCTTCTTCCACGGCATCTCTTGTTGCTGTTGTTGTCAAGTTCCCACCCATAGCGACTCTGTAGAGGGTTTCCGAGGAGCGGCTGGTGAGCTTGAACTGCCGACCTAGCGGTTCAAATCAACTTTGCAGTCCAGGACTCTAGGTGGATTCAAACCTCCAACCTCTAGGTTACTGTGTGTGTGTGGGTGTGTGTGTGTGTTGCGCGCGTGCGTGCCAAGTCAAGCATGAACCACGGCACCACCCAGGAACCTTACTGAGAATTTGGATTGGTGTTTTCTCAACATTTAGCGTGAGCATCGGATCTCAGAAGCTTTGTTTCAATAGGCAGATTCCTGGGCCCACCGGACTCTCTGGGGTATCTTCTGCACATTTATTAACCATTTTTGGGTCCTCCCTCATTGGCATGCATCAGCAACAGCACTCTGCCTGGTCCCGTCTCCCAGTACTTCCCCTCCAGTCCCTCTACCCTTAGATGGGGGGCCCTGGTCTGCCTGCCCCAGCCAAGCACACTCACAGGGGGTTGTCGCAGCTTCGGCTGCGGGATCGAACGCCACCCCCGCATGATCTCGAGCATGATCCAAACTTGGTCCAGGAGCTCCAGCCTCCATCCTGGCCATACATTTGCTCCGGAGACTTCCATATGCAGTAACCTTTGAAGCACCACTGGGGCGGAGAAGAGGGCACGAGGTCATTCTATGGTCACTGCTGCCTGACCCACCATGGAAAGGGCACAGGGGTGAGACAGGGGACGTGGAAAAGGGGAACAACCTTAGAGAGGAGAGATTAAGAGCACATGCTTGGGGTTAGACAGAATTCCAATTCCACCATGAGCTGTGCAAGCTTATGCAAATGTTTGCTTTTCTAAGCCCATTCCTCAATTGTAAAATGTAGACGACGTTTGGAGTTCCGGTTCCTGGCTGCAGCCAGGGGAGCCACGCATAGAAAGCTCCGGTGAGAAGAGAGGGGGATTTCGTGAAGGAAACTTTCATATAGCAAACCCACAGCCTTCGAACTATCATAAGACCTAGTGCTTCAATCTCCCGAACTTGCATTTTTGAAAAATCACACTACTGAGGAAATTACGGGTATCTTAAAACTCTCGCCTGTGGACTGACAGGAGTTCTGGCAACTACCCCGCCCCTGCAGTACTTAGAGGGCGGGGCTAAAGCCAGCCCGTTCAGAAAGCAGCGTTTCCAGAAAAAAAAAAAAAAAAAAAAAAAAACCCCAAAAAAACCCCTAAACAAATAAAACTGCAAGAAGCGACACAACTCCCCCCTCAAAATCTCCCTGCCCCAGCTTAAGATCTCAGAGCAGACATCAGGCAAGACAGTTTACCCACGGCACAGAGAGAGGGAGAGGGGTGGTGACTTTTTGATGTCATCCTCCACTGCCACAAATCTGAAGCCACCCTGCCCTACTCCCAGGTAGCAGCGTGGATCTACCAGCTATTGTTCTGGTGGAACCTCTCTCCTAGGGAACAGATTAAAATCTCCAACTATTAATCTGGTAACCTGCAGCTGGGCAGCTGCCTGAGTTTTCTGGGCAGGACAAACTCAAGGCAATCTATAAAACCCCAACAGAACAGGTCTCAACCATCCCAAGATTGGCTCTGAGCACATGCAGATAACTGACAATCAGAGACAAAAATAGTGGTCAATCTTTCTCCTGCTAAAACTCCCCAATATATATCTTCCCACCTATACAGCAGTGGCTAGAGGAGAGGCCTGAAAGAGGGGTCACCCGAACCCCTGCTGGAGTCTTCTATTTGCACACACACTGCTGGTATAGCACGGAAAAGTTGACCAAAGCCTCATCTCTGCTCCAAAGTGATGATTTCTGCCTATGCATTTATATTACTTCTGCTTTTGGTCCTTTTGATCACACATCTTTTCTGGCGGTGGGAGCTTTTCCTTCCTACCTCACCTAAGAAGCAGCAGCAATTGCGGCCATATAGCCAAGCTATAAGCATACACCATAATACTCCACCACTTAGACAAGACCTAACAACACCTGCTATGCATTACAGACAATAAGGGAAGCCTGTCTCCTGATCATATTAATAATAATTATAATAAAATAATAATAACCATGACCAATAAGAAACAATTAACATTATTGAAACACGTCAAAAACAGAAGAGAGCAGCTGATGCAAATGAGCTGGAGACAGACAAAGGCTTTATAGAGGAGGAGGAGCGGGTTCTGGATACGCCTGAGAGGGAATTCAGAAGAATGATATGGAAACAAATTCAAATACTCTGAAAATGGGTCGTGGAAAATAAGGAAGAATTAAGGAAAGTACTGCAGAAACAATCAAATAGGATTGACACAGCATTGAAAACAATTCAAAACCTGCAAAAAGATGTCCAAGTAATCAATAATAAGATATCAGAAATGGACAATAGGCTGAAAGGGGAAAAGAACAGATTAGAAGAGATGGAAGCCAGAACTAGCGAACTGGAAGACAAATCTCTCAATATTGCCAAGATAGAAGAGCAAGTAGCTAAAAGGATAAAACAATCTGAAGAGAGTCTAAGATTTATGCTGGATAACATGAAGAAGAATAATGTAAGAATTATTGGCATTCCGGAACAAGAAGAATCAGAGAAGTCCACAGAGGAGATAGTTGAAGAGCTTCTGGAAGAAAATTTCCCAAACATCTTGAAAGACGAGAAGATAAACATTCAAGAAGCACAACGTACCCCAGGAAGGGTAGACCCCAAAAGAAAGTCTCCAAGACAGATAATAATCAAGCTCTCCAAAGTCAAAGACGAGGAGAGAATACTAAAAGCAGCCAGGGAGTAGAGAAATATAATTTATAAAGGCAAGCAAATCAGATTAAGCTCTGACTATTCAGAACAAACCATGCAGGCAAGAAGGCAATGGGGAGACATATACAAAACCCTTCAAGAAAAAAAACTGTCAACCAAGAATCATGTATCCAGCAAAATATTAATCAAAAATGATGGTGCGATGAAAACACCCCAACATAAACAGAATCTGAGAGATTTTATGAAAACCAACCCAACACTTCAAAACATCCTAAAGGGAGTTCTGTGGATGGAGAACCAACGAGAACAGACAAAAAAACAGAGATTGACAGGTAATGGCAACACCACCTGGAACACAGCCAACAGAGAGCAGAGTCCAGAACAAAACGACACTACAACAAACTCAAGCGAGCGGAGAGATCAACTGAAGGACATAAACATATCAATGTCAAAGAAGGGACAAACGCAGCAACAGAAGCCCTGGTGGTGGGGATGCCAGGTAAATTACAGGTTACAATGGAGTATCCTAAATGCAGAGAAAAGTTAGTAGACTACAAGATAACCCCAAAGAAAGTTAACACTCCACAGCATATCATAAAAATTAATTCCCAAGCAGAACAAGCGAATAGAGAAACTAGAAAGAAACCGACAAGAAACAACTCAAAGAACGCAAATCCAACACAAGAAGGAAAAGCAGAACCAAAGAACGAACAACACCGCCAAAAAGTTAACATAATGACAGCAATTAATTCATACTCATCGATAATTACATTGAATGTCAATGGATTGAATGCACCAGTGACAAGACACAGAGTGGCAGAATGGATAAGAAAACAAGATCCATCAATATGCTGCCTGCAAGAGACACACCTCACACACAAAGACAAAAACAGACTAAAAGTTAAAGGATGAAAAAAAATTTGCCAAGCCAACTGCAACAAAAAACAAGCAGGAGTGGCAATACTAATCTCCGACAAAGTAGACTTTAAGATAAAAGCCAGCATAAGAGACAAAGAAGGTCACTATCTCATGATCACAGGGTCAACTGAGCAAGATGACATAACCATAATAAACATATACACTCCCAACAAAAGAGCACCAAGATACATGAAGCAAACCTTAATGGAATTGAGGAAAGAAAGAAATAAATCCACAATTATAGTGGGAGATTTCAACATACCACTCTCAAAAAGGGACAGAACAAAAGAAAGAAACTCGACAAAGTTACAGAGGAACTAAACAACACAATCAACCAACTTGACCTCATAGATGTATACAGAGCATTCTATCCAACAATGGCACAATACACATTCTTCTCCAGTGCGCATGGAACATTTTCCAGAATTGACCACGTGTCACAAAGCAAGCCTCCATAAATTCACAACCATCAAAATATAAACAGAGCTTCTTCTCAGACCACAATGCTATAAAACTAGAAATCAACAATTAGAAGACTAAAACAACAAATACATGGAAACTGAACGACATCCTGCTGAAAAGCGACTGGGTAAAAGAAGAAATTAAACGTGAATTCACAAAGTTCCTAGAAACAAATGAGAATGAAAACACAACATACCAAAATCTTTGGGACACAGCGAGAGCAGT